ATGATACATTGATAATGAATTAATTCATTATATTCTGGCAAAATGCAATTTATCTGCCTATTTTTCCACCTTTGGACTTAATCCTCGTTTCGATGTGATGGGTCACATAAATTTTAATGTGGTAGTAGCTGAGACTGATCCACAGCAGACGTTCTGAGCTCTATTTGCACGCAAGCTAATTTAAAGATGGCCGCCACAGCTGACTGATATTAGAAAACAAAAATGGCTACAACTTGTGCAGTTTTACAGATATGTTGCTTAAAATTGGTACATTTTTTAACAGTAAATTTAATTAGAAAAATAAAGCACTAATGACTAATTAACTCACCTGTACGTTACCTGTTGCAGCTATTCAAAGGTGTACAAACAACAGGAGGTATCGGTGGGGACTACAGCTGTGCAAACTCCTAGTTTTTGTTTTCACTTGCTGTGTTGCTGGTTATTTTTCTATCTACATTAAATATGAACACTTTTGGTTCAAATACAATTAGGGTTGTCAACTTCCAGTAATTCTAAGGGACATTTTTTAAATTAGTCTTTTTTTTTTTTGTAAATGTAAAATATGAGTTTCTGCCCTCTCAGATTGTGGAGCTGGTTGTGGACAACAGTCGCTCAGCTGACGGGGAGGTGGAAGGTCTGACAGACGGGTTCACGGCGCTCGAGTTCCTCAGCATGGTCAACGTGGGTCTGAGCTCTTTGGCCAAGCTTCCCTCTCTGCCCAAACTACGCAAAGTAAGAAGCTCTCCTCTGGACTAAAGACCGTTGCTTTGATCAGCAGGTTGTTTTCCTGTCATGGTTTGTTTATGAAGTGAAGCTGTAATACACCCGTCTGTCCACCAGGTGTCAGTGTTTCTCTGATGTTCTTTTTCTGAATGTAGCCTCAGCTCTCCTCCTCTTTCTCCAGCTGGAGCTGAGCGACAACAACCTGTCGGGGTCTCTGGAGACCCTCGCGGAGAAATGTCCTAACCTGACCTACCTCAACCTGAGCGGGAACAAGATCAAGGAGCTGAACACTTTGGAGGCGCTGGTCAGTCCGTTCTTCTTTTCTTTTGCGAAGCGACTGTGGGTGTTTAGAGATGCTCAGCTGCTGCTGTCGTCCCCGCAGCAAAACCTGAAGAGCCTGCAGAGTCTGGACCTGTTCAACTGTGAGATCACGTCTCTGGAGGACTACAGGGAGAGCGTCTTCGATTTGCTCCCTCAGGTCACCTACTTGGACGGCTTCGACCAGGAGGACAACGAGGCACCGGACTCGGAAGCCAACGACGAAGGTGAAGACGTTCAACAGAACGTGGATGCCTCCGCCTCGGTCCTGTCTTAGTTTCACGGTGGTCTCTGTTCGCAGATGAAGACGGCGAGGACGGGGCGGGGCCAACCGGGGACTACGGCGAGGAGGATGATGAAGAGGATGATGAGGATGGCTCAGAAGGAGGAGAGGTGGGGCTGAGCTTTCAGGTGAACCAGGGCAATCAGGTGGGCAACTCAGCCTTTAGTCTGTGGGTGGATCCATAGCAGACATCCCGTCCCATCCCATCATGCACCTGTGCTGAGCAACTTGCCTTTAGTCTGTGGGTGGATCCATAGCAGACCCCCTATCCCATCCCATCATGCACCTGTGCTGATCCAGGCAGAGAACAGAGCCCTGCTTCAATGCTGCTATCTGTTTATTACAGAACACTAGATTTGACTTGAGCGGACTCAGTAGGTGTTTGTTAACCAATTTTCGTGGCTTCAGTCTTTGACAGTTATAGTCAGGAGTTTTAGTTAAAGTGCCTGTGACATGCCTATCCTTCAAATACAAAAAGTCAAAGAAAATATCTTCATATTTAGGAAAATATAGGCATAAAACACACAATTTACCCCGTTTTGTCCCATAACTGGCATATTTTCCTTTGCATTTGGCTCAGCCAAAGTGAAACAGGAAGTGACATCAAAGGGGAACTTTTTAAGAAAGAAACCTCCCTGGTCTTTGTTTATTAAAGCATTATTTGATGACTTTTCTCCAATCAGAAAATTCCCGTCTGTCTGTGTTGTTAGCTGTTGTAGCAGCGCTCTGTTCACATGCAGACATTCCCCTTTGACATCACTTCCTGTTATTTCACATGCAAATATCTAAACAACTGTTCATCTTAGTGTGAAATTTCTTTTGCAATATGTTATCAGTGTTATCTTTCCAAAAGTGCAATCACGTTTATCACAAAAAATTCATGTCACAGGCACTTTAAAATGGGTTTGATTTAGTTCAGGTGATGAATTTATCTCGGGTGTAAAAATGGACGCCTCTGAACCAGTCTGTCGCTAAAAGGCGATGATGATGATGATGTTTTGTGTGTGTTTGTTTGTGTTGTATCTGTTTGTTGCCAAAAAACCTCATGAACCACTGGATGGATTTTAATAACATGTTAGCTTTTTAGCCGAAGCTAAGCTGCTCTTTGTCTGTTTGGCGTCTRCAGGAAGAGTACGACGACGAGGAAGACTATGCAGAAGAAGAAGGTGAGTCATAACGCTGCGGCTGACGTTGCAACCCCCCCGGCGGCTTGTTCCAGGCTGTGATTGGTCCGGTCTGTCTCCGCAGAGGAACAGGCGGGCGTTCACGGACAGAAGAGAAAGAGAGACGTAGACGACGAGGGCGAGGACGATGACGAGGACGAAGACAACTAGCCCAGCACCCGACCGCCCGTCTGCGCGTCGTCCCCCCCTCCCGTCTCTGTCTGTTTCAGTCCTCCTGCCGGACCCGACCTCCATCCGACAGCAGCCGCGCCGCTGCGTCCTGAGATAGTTGGTTTCAGTTTGTTGTAGAATCACGTGTTGTTTTTAGATCAAATATAAAAATTTACACAAAGATTTTATCTGAACTTTACCTGCTGGTTTCCCGCTGAAGACTCCACACGTTTCCCTTTAAAGAAAAAACCTGGTCCAGGTTCTGAGTCTGCCTCCTCTCCGAACTACATCTCACTGGATGACAAGCCCGGCTGCTGCAGCTCCTCCCTTGAATCAGGTCCTCAAGCACAGAAGRTCATCCAGAAACTGATTTTTTTTTTTAGATCTTCAGAGACAACTTTTAAAATCCTGCTGGCCTCCGGTGCAGACTCAGTGTTTGTTCGCTCTTTAAAATCAAACAAAAAAACAAAAAAAAAAGGCTGGTTGGATTTGTTTTAATAGTTTTTAATCCGTCTCTCAGCTGTGCTTAATTTAAAACAGAAGATAATATTTTACAGGATCAGCACATACAAATTAACAGTAGCATCACCAGCATTAACAAAAAAACAAACAGTTTTCTCTGTGAACAAACCTTTAAAATCCCTCCTCTTTTGTCTGACGTAAACAGTGATTTATTTGTTAAAGTAACCCGTCTGCAGCCTGCGACTAAACACGTCTTGTTGTCCGGACAGTTTTATTTATTTATTTATAAATTTGAGCCTGTGTGTGTGTTTGTGTTGATGACCTGCGTGCTGGAACTGTTCCTGTCTGAAGACCAGTTCATGGTTTTTACACGTCCACGCCAACAAAAAATAAATCACAGTCATTCCTATAAACGGTAAAACCAGCCACACACAGGTCCTGTGACTACCACACCTGCTTTCTTTGTTTTTCTCAGACGTGGAGTTTATGTTGAATCTGATAAACGATAAAAAACATCAACTGGTCTGCAGAATAGTAGCAATATGTATTACATACCTGGTACTTAATACCTAGTATGTTCTTGTACCTGTATTATGACGTGACTTTGTTACTCTGGACATAGTATATACCCAGCAGGTATTCAATACAACCTGGTATATACCCAGTTTGTACCTGGTACTGTAAGTACTAGGTGTTTACATACTTAGTAAGTACTCTGTGCAAACCTGATATATACCTGGTATGTACAGAGTAAATCCTAGTAAATACCCAGTACATACTCAGTAAGTACCAAATATGTACCCTGTACATACCTGATCAGTACTAAGAAAATATCTGTCAAGTACCTGGTCCATTTCTTGTAAGTACCAGATACCTACTTAGTATATACTTGGTAACTACTCAGTATGTACTTAGTTTATAATTGGTACATACCCAGTATATGTCTTGTTAGTACCAGATACATACCCAGTACATACTCATAACTTCTCAGTACCTACTTGGTATATACCCAATAAATGTCTTGTTAGTACCAGATATGTACCCAGTACATACTTGTAACTACTCAGATTTATACCTAGTACATATCCAGTAAATGTCTTGTGAGTATCAGATACATACCCAGTACCTACTCTGTAGCTAATCAGTATGTACTTTGTGTGTACCTGATCTTGTTAGAATCAGAGACAAATTCTGTATGTACTTTGTAACCACTCCGTACATACTTAGTATATACCTGGTACATACCCAGTACAGACTCTAGCTACTTGGTGTGTCCCTGATACATACCCAGTTAGTATCAGAGACATACCCTGTATATACTTTGTAACCACTCAGTACATACTTGGTATTTACCTGGTACATACCCAGTACATGTCTTGTTAGCATCAGATACATACCCAGTATATACTTTGTAACCACTCAGTATGTACTTAGTTTATAATTGGTACATACCCAGTATATGTCTTGTTAGTACCAGATACATACCCAGTACATACTCATAACTTCTCAGTACCTACTTGGTATATACCCAATAAATGTCTTGTTAGTACCAGATATGTACCCAGTACATACTTGTAACTACTCAGATTTATACCTAGTACATATCCAGTAAATGTCTTGTGAGTATCAGATACATACCCAGTACCTACTCTGTAGCTAATCAGTATGTACTTTGTGTGTACCTGATCTTGTTACTATCAGAGACAAATTCTGTATGTACTTTGTAACCACTCAGTATATACCTGGTACCTACCCAGTACAGACTCTAGCTACTTGGTGTGTACCTGATACATACCCAGTATATATCTTGTTAGTATCAGAGACATACCCTGTATATACTTTGTAACCACTCAGTACATGCTTGGTATTTACCTGGTACATACCCATTACATGTCTTGTTAGTATCAGATACATACCCTGTATATAGTTTGTAACCACTCAGTATGTAATTGGTATATACAAGAGTATCTACAGGGTAACAAGTATCTTTATAATACAGCCCAGTCCCTTTAGGTGCCCTGTTAGTACTGGGTACATACACACTTAGGAAGTTCCTGGTAAGTAATACAGCCTGGTAAGTACCCAGTAGGTACTCAGATGTTTTATGTATTGCTACAAAAACAGAACTTGTGGATCGCGTTGAGTTTTTTCGAGTTTATTTTCTATATTCGACCCGTGTTCTCAGGAGCCACCGGCTCAAAACGTTTTGTCTTTTTGTCCCGAGCTTCACACGCAGAATTCTTTCTGAAACCACGACGTTAAAAAAAAATAAAAATCCCAGAAGCTGTTTGAGTCGCAGCCATATCAGCGTCTGAGCTCCGAGCGAGGAGAGCAGCCCCTCCACGACCTCTCAGCCTGTCAGGAAACTCAGATGGAGTCACTGGTTTAAAGTTAGAAATACGTGGACCTGCTGTGGGTCAGGTTCACAGAGGAGATGTGTGTGTTTTGGTGTGTGTGTGTGATTTATTTTAGGTTTGTTTCTTATCGTGGAGGCAGTGAGCGAGTGGAACAAAGTATTTAGCTTTGTGGATTTTGTTTGTTTTTGTTTTAAAGTGTTCTTTTTTTTTTTGGTTTAAGTGTTTATTGATTAATGGCTGTTAATATTTTTATCCTAATAAATAACAGAGTGACTCATCTTCTAACTCAGTTTCCCCCTGTAGGTGGTTAAAATCAGCACAACTCAAAAATAATCCACTTCCATCGCCTTTTAATGCTTATTTGACCGTTTTTACATCTGTTTGCATCCAGTTAACACAAACTTAACACATTTTACCTCAGAGTGTTGTTTGAAACAGCTTTGCTTTGTATTTAAGTAAACAGTGTTCATTAAAATATGTCTTTATTTACTTTTAATTCATTTCATAATGTTAAATTAGTTTAACATTACTGAGAACATACACCACATATCTACATCCTGTTTTTTTATTATCAGCTTAAAAAAACAGCAGTAAAAAAATGTTACTTTGGTTCAGGTGTTTCTGGTGTGCTGCACACTTTGACAGGACTGACCAACTTCTCTGGTGATCTGAACACATTTATTATTAACAGCAATAAAAGCAGTAAATTTGTCTTTGCATTGTTCAGTGAGTGCAACTGATTAAAGGCCCACAAATAAGAGGGGGGAAAAGCTAATAAAACAGCTGTGACAACCTGTTGTATGTTAAGAAAAATCAAAATGCAATAAAATATCAATACTACACAACAACTATATATATATGCAAATAAAAAAATAATAATTTTGATATATTAGAGTACATTTGTGTGCTAAATACATAGTTGAAAGGAGCAAAAAAAAGTCAAAATACTGTGTCCTACAATAAGCTCCAACTAAAAAGAAAAACTGCATCCTATGCATTCCAATGGATTTTATAATTTTCAGATGGTAATCAAATTCAAATAATGTAAAAGAAATAATCAGACAAAATAGAATAATGGTGAAAAAAATTAAATTTGTCCTGGCTTTTTAAAAAAATTTATAGAAATTAATTTCTTCCATATTACCATGATTAGGAGATAAACATGCATAATATCTCATATGTCATATTTACAAGATAGTATTTCAACATTTTGAGATGAGTATAAAACTCACATGAACAAAGTATGTGACTCATAAATTTTTAAGAAAGTTTCTCCTAATTATGAAAATCTAATGAATAATTTTCATATATTAGCTCATAAAAATGATCTTATGGAAAAAAAATGGTCTTCAGTATTACCTCTCTGAAGAGTTTTTAATATTTTTATTTTATTTGTTTTGATAATGAGCTGTTTTCTATTGTCTGCTTCTTGTTCTTGTTTAATTTAAAGTTTCATGTGTTCACAGCTTGGCCTGCAGAGGGCGCTGTTGTCTTTCTCTTGAGTAGTCCTGATTTTCTACCCTTTTTTTTTTTTGAGTTTTAAATGCACCAGTATCTCTTTCACATCAAAACTAAACCAGATTTTAATTGAACATTTTTGACTTCTTATGCATTTACAACTCTTCAGTTTATCAACAGGATAGTGAATGAAGACTTAAAAAAAAACTTTAGGGTGTGCTTAGAAGGAGACAAGTGAGTAAGGAAAGGAAGCAAGGAGGTGAGATCTCATAACCTCTGACATCTCCTCCTTTCTTCTCCTCTTCTTGATCCAATTTGTGGAATTTAAACAGCTCAAACAGATAAATTGTCCATTAATGGAGGCAACAGCTGCGACCACACACACATTAACACACATGCACACACATTCATCTCCTTTGGGAGCTTCCTGTCTGACCTCCTCCCAGGAGGAAACACTTCAAACTGCTTATTATTCAGCTGTGGTTCACAGACTGCAGAGGCTTCGATTGGTCGCTGAGGGTCAGGTGATCACAGGAGACGTATCATCAATGATGACACACTGATGGGTGTGTGTGTGTGTGTGTGTGTGTGTGTGTGTGTGTGTGTGTGTGTGTGTGTGTGTGTGTGTGTGTGTGTGTGTGT